GGTTCCCAGGGTGGGGGCAGTGGGAGGGTTCCCGGGTTTGGGGGGGGAGCGCAATGCACGTAACGTCATGCCTCACGTGTGCGTCGCTGCGCAGGTATCACCAACTATGACGAGTACTCTCTGGTGCGGGAAGTGTTTGAGGAGAAGAAGGAAGAGATGACCGGAACCCTAAAAAAGGACAAAACTCTTCTCCGGGATGAAAAGAAAATGGAGAAACTGAAGCAGAAGCTGCACACGGATGATGAGTGTAAGTGACATGGATATTGGAGGGAAAGGTGGGCGGAGCTGAGATCTCTAGTGTGGATACCTCATTGGTGGTGGGCGGAGCTGAGATCTCTAGTGTGGATACCTCATTGGTGGTGGTGGGTGGAGCTGAGATCTCTAGTGTAGATACCTCATTGGTGGTGGTGGGCGGAGGTGGGATCTCTAGTGTAGGTACCTCATTGGTGAAGGTGGGAGGAGCTGGGATCTCTAGTGTAGATACCTCATTGGTGAAGGTGGGTGGAGCTGGGATCTCTAGTGTAGGTACCTCATTGGTGGTGGTGGGCGGAGCTGGGATCTCTAGTGTAGGTACCTCATTGGTGAAGGTGGGAGGAGCTGGGATCTCTAGTGTAGATAACTCATTGGTGGTGGTGGGCGGAGCTGAGATCTCTAGTGTAGATAACTCATTGGTGAAGGTGGGCGGAGCTGAGATCTCTAGTGTAGATAACTCATTGGTGGTGGTGGGCGGAGCTGAGATCTCTAGTTTAGATAACTCATTGGTGGTGGTGGGCGGAGCTGAGATCTCTAGTGTAGATACCTCATTGGTGAAGGTGGGCGGAGCTGGGATCTCTAGTGTAGATACCTCATTGGTGAAGGTGGGAGGAGCTGGGATCTCTAGTGTAGATAACTCATTGGTGGTGGTGGGCGGAGCTGAGATCTCTAGTGTAGATACCTCCATTGGTGAAGGTGGGCGGAGCTGGGATCTCTAGTGTAGGTACATCATTGGTGGTGGTGGTGGGCGGAGCTGAGATCTCTAGTGTAGATAACTCATTGGTGGTGGTGGGAGGAGCTGGGATCTCTAGTGTAGGTACCTCATTGGTGGTGGTGGTGGGCGGAGCTGAGATCTCTAGTGTAGATAACTCATTGGTGGTGGTGGGAGGAGCTGGGATCTCTAGTGTAGGTACCTCATTGGTGGTGGTGGTGGGCGAAGCTGGGATCTCTAGTGTAGATAACTCATTGGTGGTGGTGGGAGGAGCTGAGATCTCTAGTGTAGATACCTCATTGGTGGTGGTGGGAGGAGCTGGGATCTCTAGTGTAGGTACCTCATTGGTGGTGGTGGGCGGAGCTGAGATCTCTAGTGTAGGTACCTCATTGGTGAAGGTGGGAGGAGCTGGGATCTCTAGTGTAGATACCTCATTGGTGAAGGTGGGAGGAGCTGGGATCTCTAGTGTAGATACCTAATTGGTGAAGGGGGGAGGAGCTGGGATCTCTAGTGTGGATACCTCATTGGTGGTGGTGGGCGGAGCTGGGATCTCTAGTGTAGGTACCTCATTGGTGGTGGTGGTGGGCGAAGCTGGGATCTCTAGTGTAGATAACTCATTGGTGGTGGTGGGAGGAGCTGAGATCTCTAGTGTAGATACCTCATTGGTGGTGGTGGGAGGAGCTGGGATCTCTAGTGTAGATACCTCATTGGTGAAGGTGGGCGGAGCTGGGAACTCTAATTTAGATACAGCACCTCAATGGCGAAGTCCTAAGAGAATGAAGAAGCTGGTTGGTCCTCCAGCCCACCTACCTGTACCAGAAAACTGCCCCTGTGTCATGCTTGGAGGGGGTAACATGCGTGCTCTGTGTTTGCCCTCATGCAGTGAATTGGCTGGACCCGGGGCGGACGTTACGAGAACAAGGTGTAGATGAGAATGAAACCCTCCTCCTGAGACGGAAGTTCTTCTATTCCGACCAGAACGTGGACTCCAGGGACCCCGTGCAGCTCAACCTCCTCTACGTACAGGTACCTACCTCTCGTGTGTACTTACCTCTGTGACCCCGCTGATGCCGGGTGTACCTCCAGTCCTCTGCGCGCCCACTTACCTCTGTGACCCCGCTGATGCCGGGTGTACCTCCAGTCCTCTGCGCGCCCACTTACCTCTGTGACCCCGCTGATGCCGGGTGTACCTCCAGTCCTCATTGTTGTCACTTTCCATGATTTCCAGGCTCGGGATGACATTCTGAACGGCTCTCATCCGGTCTCCTTCGATAAGGCCTGCGACTTTGCTGGCTATCAGTGTCTGGTGCAGTTCGGACCTCATAATGAGATGAAGCACAAGCCGGGCTTCCTGGAGTGAGTATGGAGCAGCACAATGGGGGGGATGGGAGGT